TTCAGCTCAAGGCGAGCGCTCTACCACTTGAGCTACAGCGCCACTTCCAGTTTTCTGGTGGTTTATTGGAGATAGGAGTCTCACGGTCTCTCCTGCCCGGGCTGGCTTTGAACCGTGATCCTCAGATCTCAGCCTCCTGAGTAGCTAGGATTACAGGCGTGAGCCACCAGCGCCCGGCTCGACAAGTAGACTTTAATAGAAGGTGCACCTTCACCTGGTTCTTGTTCCCTCCCTATTCTAATTCACTCAATCCCTACTAGGTATTTTCTGGAAAGCTCTGCTTAAAGCAATCACATGCACCCAAATTCCTGTCGCAGGCTTCTAGACCTGATTATGAGTGTTGCCACAAACCTTACAATCTGTTGGCTCCAGAAAGCCAACTTTTACATGTCCTTGCTGGTATGTGCTTTTTTTTTTTTCAATCTTGGGGCTTGAACACAGGGTCAGTGCTCAGGCTGTTTTATCTAAAGGCTAGCACTCTACCACTTGAGCCACAGCACCACTTCTGTTTTTTTCTGTGTATGTGGTACTGAGGAATCACCCAGGGTTTCATGCATGCTAGGCAAACACTCTACCACTAAGCCACATTCCCAGTCCCAGAATTTTCTTTCTCTCTTTCTCTTTCTTTCTTTCTTCCTTCCTTTCTTTCTTTTTTGGGGGTCAGTCATGGGGCCTGAACTCTGGGCCTGGGCACTGTCCCTCAGCTCTTCAGCTCAAGGCTAGCGCTCTACCATTTGAGCCACAGCACCACTTCCGGCTTTTTTCTTTTTGCTTATGTGGTGCTGGGGAATAGAACCCAGGGCCTCAGGCATGCAAGGCAAGCACTCTACCACTGAGCCACCTTTCCAGCCCCTCTTTCTTTCTTTCTTTCTTTGTCTTTCTTTCTGTCTTTTTTTTGCCAGTCCTGAGGCTTGAACTCAGGGCCTGGGCACTGTCCATGATCTTGTTTTTTTTTTGCTCAAGGCTAGAACTCTACCACTTGACCCACAGTGCCCCTTATGGCGTTTTCGTTTATGTGGTACTAAGGAATCAAATCCAGGGCTTCATGCATGCTAGGTAAGCATTCCATCATTAAGCCACATTTCCAGCCCCTTGAATTTTTTTCTTAGTGTTAGCTGGGTTCAGTTCATGTTCTTCCTACTTATGTTGTTATCTCCGGGGTTTATCCTTTATACATACCCACTGCCTATCCAGAACCAGGTTCTTCCTACATTTTCTCTCTCGGGAAGTGTGAAACTGACTCATTCCTCTCTATCCTTATTGCTCAACTTCTGTTTACCATTGAGTTGTCATGAATCATCTTATGAACTGCTATAAACTCATTCTGATCTGACGTGGTTTGCCGTAACTACACCTCAATGAATGCTTGGGAAATGCTTTCTAACTCAGTTTAATAAGAACCTAAATTAAATCTACAAATAATGTATTGATAACTATAATACCTCTGAAAATAAATACCAATATTAACTAAATGTCAGAGTTTAAGTAAAAAGTTTAATTTTTCTTACTTTTCCTGGGTGACCCAATTGATGACTAAATCAAGCCGTTTTTCAGATAATCCGCATTTGATTCCTTCCAGGGTTAGCTCCTTATTAATAGGACGTTTGAAAGCATGACTTGTGCTGAATATTGCCTCAAAAAATGAGAGTAATGGAAGAGTCCTTCCTCTAATTTTTCCAACCTCTACAGAAAGAAAAGCTTTGAGTCAAACACACCCAAGAAATGGTTTCCTCTTTATTTCATATTACTACTTTCATCTCTTTGCATTTCCTAAGCCTTTAATAATACATATAAATAAAACCTTATACTCTTAGATAATAACTATCACTATCTATCTATGCCAAGTGAGATGGAGGCAGAAATCTAGAAGCCAAGGGAAGCCAAGACTTTTTGACGGTCACCGAAGCTAAAGCTTCTTTGGAGCTAATCTGTATCTAGCTTATTTTACTTAACACAATGTCCTCCCTGTAGTTGCAAATAGCAGCATCTACTCTCACAAGGCTGAGTAATATTTCACTGCATATATACATAACAGATGTTCTTTGGCTACAAAATTAGGATCCTTGAAATGAGATTATGTTGTGATTAAAAAAAGAGAGAGAGAAGCTGACAGATCCAGGATTGCATAGGGTTTGACTTGGAATAGACAGAAGTATGGTCCTGGGCAGCAACAAGACCTAGTGGGTCCCTACAATCTGGGTCAGAAGGAGGGGCATGTTACATGTTTAGGACAAAAATCACTTCATCCAGGCCAGACTATAGCTCTTGGAAAGCAGATAAATCTTTATTTCTTGATGGCCACTAGAGTTTCATTTTTTCCTTGCCAGTAGCAGGAAAACCCTGAGCTTGCTTGCTAACGTAAAGTGTACTACCACTTGAGTCATTTCTTCAATATGGCTTTTTGCTGGTTAATTGAAGTAGGATTCTAATGAGTTTTCCTGCCTGGGCTGACTTTGAACCATGATCCTCAAACCTAAGCTTCCTGAGCAGCTAGGATTACTGGTGTGAGCCACCAGCACTGAGCTACCACTCTGACTCTTAGTAAATTCATTCACACCTCTCATACCAGCTGAAACCAGTGGACCTAACAATCTATATCCTTTCTATGAACTATTACTCATCAATAGAAGGGAATGAACTATTGCCAGATCGAACAACATGAATTTAAAAGTATTTATGCCTGAGTACACAACGCCAGTCAAAAAGGAATGCCTACTGAATGATCTTACTCATATAAAATTATAGAAAATACAAACTAGTCTGCTGTGACCAAAAACAGACCTGTACTTGGCTGAGGACTATGGAAGGAAAGGCTGGGGTGGCAGAGGGTAATAAAGAGGGTCATGGTGAGGGAGCCGTGGGGTAGTGGATGGGAATGGAGAGAGAGTAGAGAAAGTAGAAAGTAGAATGATGGCAAGGATAGGAGGGATAATGTCGAAACATCACATTGTTTAAATGTGTACAATTTAGGTTGGGAACATAGCTCAGAGGTGTACCATCTATGAAGCCGTAGGTTCCACCTCCAGTAATACAAAAAAAAATAAGTATAGCATTAGTTGTATGCATGTCATTTTACCAAAAGAAAGTTATTGTTTAAAATGTGATAGGACAGCCAGGTCCAGTGGCTCACACCTATAATCCTAGATACTCAGGAGGCTGAGATCTGAGGATCACAGTTCAAAGCCAGCCTGGGGAGCAGGAAAGTCGGTGAAACTCTTATCTCAGTTACTACCAGAAAACTGGAAGTGGTGCTGTGACTCAAGTTCAGGGCCACAGTTCAAGCCCCGCGACTAACAACAGCAGCAACAAAAATGTGTTAGGGCTTATCAAATCCTACTGTCTTAAGAGTTCACTCTTAGCTTCTGTAATTCCATTTTGCTTTTGTGACTCCAGCTTAAAGGACTGCACCCCCACCCGTGAGACTAGTTCCTTATAGTTTGACATTTAAAGATATATGGAGCCCTTGTTCTGTTTCTCTTTCTAGGTAACAATCATAGTAACCGGTCATAGAAATGATCATGGTAAGGGGTCATGTTGCCCTTCTTGGGTTCGCTTACAGCATTGTCTAAGCTTCTGTAACTTCACACTTGGCTTGCACCTGCAGGAAAAAAACATTAGGGGCTTTCCACCCCTGAATAAATAAGGAGATGGGTTTTCTGCTTTAAAGTGGGCCATGAGATCAGGCTTGGCACTGCACTTTTGAGCACCTGATTGCCCAATGTAGTTCCAGCCAGTAATAAAGACTTTCTATTGGCTATACTCTACGTCTATGTGGTCTCTCCTGGTGGTCTTCCTCACAACAAAGAGAATGTGGAGTACAATTGACAATAGTGAATACATGAGTACTAACATGTTTCCCGCACGTTTCTATATACTGAAATAGTTCATAATTTGATTTAGAAAATCTAATCAAATCCCTTAATGTTATAGCTAAGGAACTAGTAATGGTAGAGACAGGATTGTGGGCTGGACTGTTAGCCCCCCAGGTTGTAATTCCATTCTATCAAAGAAAAACAAAGTAAATGTTGCATATATTTTTAAGATTCCGAGAGAAATGCTTGGATGCTTACCCTTAAATTTATTCATTGAACCAATGTTCTGGAGGATTCTCCGAGGACTGCTTGCCGCAAAAGAAGCTGCCATTTCATATTCACCTAGTGAGATTAATTCATTGAACCTACAGCCATTCCGTTTTGTAATGTGTTATGATGGTACACAAAAAAAAGGAAAACTGATTAGAAATGTCTAATAAAAACCAATTGTAATTAGATTTATTCATCTGCAAGATGTTCACTCTTCTCTAATACTCCAGTGTTTGTTTTGTCTGATTAAAATATTGTCACTTGCCAGCTGACTTTGAACCTGATCCTGTACTTTATCCCTTACAGGAAATCATAGCAAATGAGAACTTGAAGTGAATTTACAATAAACCCTGGTTTGGGGTCTGCTTTTTGGCTCACCATCAGAGCAAATTAGGGTAATCTACTTAGAAGCTCAATCTACAAAAAACAGTCATTGAATGTAGATGCAGCCAAAGTAGAAATCAAGAAGTGTTCTTGGTATTTAGAAGTCTATATTTCTCTGCTAAGGCACCGGCCCCACAACTAAATATTAGACTAACACAGGACCTATAATGGTTAACTTTAGTCTCTACACTACTCCCTATGGCATAGGTCTTCAAATAAGCCCTTGCCTTGCAACGAGTAAAACTGTGGCAAACAGGTTTAATAAGTAGTATTGCAAATAAATAGGAACACAAAGGGGGAAGACTGAAGTCATATTAAGTAAAATATATAAAACTTTTACTCTTCACATTTTTTCTCTCATGAAAACTAGTAGGCTTAGAGAAGTATCATACAATGTAAGAAAATACAAATGGGTCATCTTTACCCATTTCTCTGTAACATGATAACAAGGAATTCAGCAGGTAAAATCTGTTCAGATTATAAGAATAATGATACTGCATATTAGCCTATGGTATTTGAATTAACTTTTAAAGAAAACAATCATAGATCTCTTATACCTCTAGTAAATGCTATGTATATGTACAAGTGAGAAATAAATCACTTTCATATGTCATAAGATGGAAATATTGAGAGAAAAAAGTAATGAATTGGCTAGGATAAACTGAATCAAGAAATCTCTCTCTCTCTCTCTCTCTTTCTTTCTCTGACAGTCCTGGGTCTTGAACTTGTGGCCTGGGCATTATTCTTGAGCTTCTTTTTTCTCAAGGCTAGCACTCTACCACTTGAGCCATAACTCCACTTTCAGCTTTTTTGTAATTTATTGGAGATAAGAGTCTCACGGACTCTCCTGCCTGGCCTGTCTTAAAACCAAAGTCCTCAGATCTCAGCCTCCTAAGTAACCAGGATTACAAGCATGAGCCACCAGCACTGAGCTAAGAAAGAATTCTTTTGCTGGGCATTGGTGGCTTACTCCTGTGATCTATGAAAAAGTAAAATAAAGTTCTAGCTTCATTTCTAACTTGTTAACTTGGATGCTTTTTTTTCTTTTTCTTTTTTTGCCAGTCCTGGGGCTTGAACTCAGTGCCTGGGCACTGGCCTGGGCACTGTTCCTGAGCTTCTTTTGCTCAAGGCTAGCACTCTACCACTTGAGCCACAGTGCCACTTCTGGCTTTTTCTGTTGGTGTGGTACTGAGGAATCGAACCCAGGGCTTCATGCATGCTAGGCAAGCATTCTATCACTAAGCAACATTCCCAACCCTGAATACTTTTTTCAAAATGCAAAATCTCAAGACTCTGGATCATTGAGGTACTGAATAAATAGTAAATGTTGCTACTTAAGTATGGGAAATCAAAGTATTTAAAATGTTTGCCTTTCAATGTAGTAAAGCATAATTTCAGCTTCTTTTGCCTTGCTTAGACTGTCTTCAAAAAGTTCATCAGCTACAATTTCTTCAACTGTAAATATTGGGAGAAAAAAACACCGTAAGACATTGGTTGTTCATCTATAGAAAATAAACATGTTTATTGCTTTGGTTTCAAACAGCATCAACCTCTTCCTAAACTGAGTGACCTCCCTGGACTTTTCTATTATTTTCAAGTACATTTTCAGGTATTTTCTGTTTGGCTCATTATGTCTATGCTTTAGCAGCTATCTGTCAGTTGCTAAAAGAAGAAATCCAAAGGGCAACAGGGAACTATCAGAAGTAAGTATATTTTTGCCAGTTTTTTTTTTTGTTGTTGTTCTTGGTTGTGGTGGTCATGGGGCTTGAACTCAAGGCCTGGGCCCTGTCCCTGAGCTCTTTTGCTCACTATCACTCTATCACTTTGAGCCACAGCTTTACTTCTGGTTTTCTGGTGGCTAATTGGTGTTAAGAGTCTCACAGACTTTCCTACCTGTGCTGGCTTTGAACCACAATCCTCAGATCTCAGCCTCTTATTACAGGCATAAGCCACCAGCACCCAGCCTATTTTTTCACTTCTTTTTTGTGGGGGAGGGTCTGGTCGTGGGGCCTGAACTCTGGGACCTGGGCGCTGTCCCTCAGCTCTTCAACTCAAGGTTAGTGCTCTACCACTTGAGCCACAACACCACTTCCGGCTTTTTTCTTTTTCTTTTTACTTATGTGGTGCTGAGGAATCAAACCCAGGGCCTACGGTCTACCACTGAGTCACCTTCCCAGCCCTTTTTTCACTTTCTTTAAACTCAACTTAGAAACCTCATTCTTTAAGCTTTCGGGGGAAATTGACTTTAATTGTTTGTGCTATTAAAATATTAAAGGACCCAAGTTACTAGATCGAGTGAGATAACCAAACTAAGAGCTGAAATTAACAAGATAGAGACTAAGAAAACTATAAATAAAATTAATAAAACAAATTGACAGACCTCTGGCAAGATTAACGAAAAAAAGAAGAGAGGAGACCCAAATCATCAAGATCAGAGATGCCACAGGAAAAATTACAACAAACATCCAAGACATCCAAACAATTATAAAGAACTATTTTCAGGATCTATACTCACTAGGAAAACCTAGCAGAAACGGATGAATATTTAGAGAAATACAAATTGCCCAAACTGAATCAAGAAGAAATAAGTCAATTAAATAAGCCAATAACTTACAATGAGATAGAGGAAACAATCAGAAGTCTTCCAACAAAGAAAAGCCCACGACCAGATTGATTCACTATGGAATTCTATAAGACTTTTAAACAGGAACTAATAATACCTATACTCCTCAAGCTCTTCTGAGATATAGAAACAGAGGGAGCAATCCCGAACTCATTCTATGAAGCCAATATCACACATCCCCAAACCAGGCAAAGATCCAACAAAAAAAAAGATGATGAATCTCCTTGATGAACACAGATGTAAAGCTCTTCAATAAAATGTTAGCCAACAGAATCCAGAAAGTATTTTTAAAAAATACATTATGATCAAGTAGGCTTTATCCTAGAGATGCAGGGATAGTTTAACATACATAAATCAATAAATGTAATCCATCACATCAACAGACCCAAGGTCAAGAACCACATGATTATCTCCATTGATGTGGAAAAGGCTTTTAATAAAATACAACATCCATTCATGTTAAAAGCTCTGGAGAAAATAGGAATAGAAGGAACATTCCTTAAAACAATAAAAGCCATATATGATAGACCAATAGCCAATATTATACTAAACAGGGAAAAACTACAACCAATTCTCCTAAAAGCAGGAACAAGGCAAGGATGCCCACTCTCTCCACTCCTCTTCAATATAGTCCTGGAATCCTTAGCGAGAGCAATAAGGCAATAAAAGTACATTACAGGAATCTGCATAGAGAAGGAAGAAATTAAACTATCGCTATTTGCAGATGATATTATACCTTAACAATCCCAAAAACTCCACTCCCAAACTCCTAGAGCTTATAAACCACTTCAACAAAGTAGCAAATAAATCAGTTGCCTTTCTGTACACCTACAATGTACAAGCAGAAAGGAAAATCAAGGAAACAACCCCATTTACAATAACCTCAAAAAATTAACCTCCTTTATAAAGATGTAAAGAAACTATTTAATGAAAACTATAAAAGCCTAAAGAGAGAAATCACACCAGGACACCAGGAAATGGAAAGACCTTCCATGTTCTTGGTGAGGCAGAATTAATATTCTGAAAATGGCCATTCTGCTAAAAATGATAAACAAATTCAATGCAATTCCCATCAAAATCCCAATTATTTTCTTTACTAAAATAGAGAAAACTATCCAAAAATTCATATGGAACAATAAAAGACTAGAATAGCCAAAGCAATTCTAGGCAAAAGAAACGATGTGGAAGGGATCACAATACCAGATTTCAAGCTCTACTATAGAGCCATAACAATAAAGACAACTTGATACTGGCACAAAAACAGACCCCAAGACCAATGGAACAGATTGGAAGATCCAGAACTAAAACCACATACCTATAGTTAGCTGATATTTGACAAAGAAGCCAAAGACATAGAATGGAAGGAAGAAGCACAGCCTCTTCAACTATTGGTGCTGGGAAAACTGGGCGGCCACATGCAGAAATCTAGGATCCTAGCTGCCACCATGCACTAACATCAACTCAAAATGGATTAAAAACCTTAACATCAAACCTGAAACTCTGAAACTACTGCAGGACAGAGTAGGAAAGACACTTGAACTTATAGGCACAGAGTCCCAAGGTCACAACAAATTGGAGACTCGACAAATGGAACTACCTTAAAATATAAAGCTTCTGCACAGCTAAAGACATAGCTACCGAATTAGAAAGACAGCCAACTAATTGGGAAAAAGTATTTACCAGACAATATATCCAGTATATACAGGGAACTCAAGAAACTAATCCCTCCCAAATCTAACAAACCAATCACGAAATGGGTAAGGGAGCTAAAGAGAGACTTCTCAGAAGAGATAAAATGGCAAAGAAACACATGAGGAAATGTTCATCATCCCTGACTGTAAAGGAAATGCAAATAAAAACAACCCTGAGATACCACCTTACCCCAGTCAGAATGGCCCACATCTAAAGTCAGCCAACGACAAATGCTGGCAGGGATGTGGAGAAAGAGGAACCCTATTGCACTGTTGGTGGGAATGTACACTAATATAATCACTTAGGAAAGCAGTCTGGAGGCACCTCAGAAAGCTAAATACAGAGTTCCCTTAATGATCCAGCCATACCACTCCTAGGCATCTACCCTGAGCAACAGGAATCAGGATACAAGGACACACACAACCCTCATGTTCATTTCAGCACTGTTCACAATAGCCAGGACAGATGCCCCACTACAAATGAATGGATACAAAAATTGTGGTACCTATACGCAATGGAATATTATACAACCGTTAGAAAGGACAAAATAACGGCATTCACAGGGAAATGGATGGAACTAGAAAAAATCATTTTGAGCAAGGTAAGTCAAGAGCAGACAGACAAACAGCACATGGTCTCACTGATATATGGATGTTAAATCCAAAATGCAAGGAGATATGACAACGTAAACAAGACTTGAGAAACAAAGGACCTCCACTCATTTTGTCGTATTACAGAGGGAAACAGGGGAAAATATACAACAGAGGAGCATAGGATATTGATAAAATGAACTAAACAGCCGGACACTAGTGGCTCAGGTCTGTAATCCCAGCTACTCAGGAGGCTGAGATCTGAGGATCACAGTTCAAAGCCAGCTCAGGCAAGGAAAGTCTCCAAGACTCTTATCTCCAACAAACCACTAGAAAACTGGAAATGACACTGTGGCTCAAGTGGTAGAGTGCCAGCCTTGAGCTGAAGAGCTCATGGACAGCACCCAGGCCTAGAATGAAAGCCCACAATTGACAAAAAAAAAAAAAGAATTAAACAACTCAAGGGTAGCAGTGGGAAGGAGGAAATGAGAGGGAAAGAGGGAACAGCTTACATTAAGTAAAAGGAAAGAAATGTACATATCACCCCATGTGGAAGAAATAATTGTATTGTCAAAGCTCATAGAATTCACAAACGTTATAGACCATGATAATGACAATTTGGCTTGTGAAGGTTAAAATGTGTTTGTGACTTTAACTAAGTATCACTATCTCACATACTGTGAAATTTATGCAATCACTTAATCTCAATAAAGCATTATAAAAATAAATAAAAATAGTATAGCAAGGGATACGGGATATGCTAGGGCTCCTTGGCACAGGTCAAAACTTCCTAAATAATGATCCAGAAATACAACAAATAAATGAGATTGCATTAAACTGAAGAGCTTTTGCATGGTAGAGGATATAGCTAGCAAGATCAATAGAAAGCCCACGGATTGGGAGAAGATCTTCACTAGCTATATAACAGAAAAGGGCCTTACGTCAAAAATATACATAGAGCTCAAAAAATTACATCCCCCCCAATAAAAAATCCCCAAAGAAACAACCATCCCATTAATAAGTAGCCTAAAGAATTAAAAAGAGGCTTCTCAGGAGAGGAAATAAGAATGGCCAATAGACACAGGAAGAAATATTCATCTCTGGCCATAAACGAAATACAAATCAAAATCACATTGAGATTCCACCTCATCCCAGTTAGAATGGCTATTATCAAGAAAACAAATAATAGTAGATGCTGGCGGGGATGTGGCCAAAAGGGAATGTTACTACACTGTTGATGGGAATACAAACTGGTTCAACCACTCTGGAAAACCATATGGAGTTTCCTTAAAAGATTAAATGTAGAGCTGGGAAGGTGGCTCAGTGGTAGAGCACTTGCCTTGCATGCATGAGGCCCTGGGTTCTATTCCTCAGCACCACATAAGCAAAAAGAAAAAAGCTGGAAGTGGCGCTATGGCTCAAGTGGTAGAGGGCTAGCCTTGAGCTGAAGAGCTGAGGGACAGCGCCCAGGCCCAGAGTTTAGGCCCCATGACCGGACCCCCCCCCCCAAAAAAAAGACTAAATGTAGAACTCTCCTATGATCCAGCAATTCCACTCCTGGGTGTTTATCCAAATGATCACAAACAAGACCACACTAAAGCTACTAGCACAAATGGGTGTGCCCGGACCCCTGGAGGCAGTGGCAGGCACTTGGCTGATAGGTTACTCTCAGTCTAGTGCCTGGGACTGGGAATTTCCTGAGGATCTGCCCCCTGCACTGACCTATTTAGGACCCAACCAGCCTAGCCTCAAAGAGGATGCCACATGTGTGTGTGATGGTGCCCTGTGTCCTGTCCCCTGGCTCGTCTCCAGTCATCATTGCATCACAATTCAGCTCTCCACTGGAGCCAAATTGGTTTGTTGGTATTGATTTTGTTATTTCTTTCCTCTTTAGCATGTTTCCTGGCTGTGTTATGTGTATTTGCATGCTGCAGGCCTTTGCAGCTGTTAACTGTATAATAAAGACTCCAATAATTTTTCTACATTAAAAAAAAAGCTACCAGCCCAACTATGTTCACTGCAGCATTACTTACCATAACTCTGTGTGTGTGTGTGTGTGTGTGTGTGTGTGTGTGTGTGTGTGTGAATTCTATGCTTCCATCAGAAAGAATGACAGTGTCCCATTTGTAAGGAAATGGAAAGACTTGGAAAAAGTCATATTAAGTGAAGTAAGCCAGCCTCAAAGAAACATAGGCTCCATGAGGTTTCCCTCATTTGTAATAATTAGGATAGTTGTAGTAGAGGAGCACAATAGCTCAATAGCTATGTACATATGACCATATAAAATGATGCTAATCGAAATGAACTCCAAGATATGGATAAATAAGAGGGATTTTTGTTGTTGATGCTGTTGTTTTTAATGTACTGTATGAAGTTCTTTCTTTTTTTCCCCTTTGGTTTATCCCCTGTTGTCACTGTTTTTGATTCTGGTACCCTGTGTCTTATATGTATGTTTATCTGATTTGGGGAAGGGAAGGGGAATAACAAAATGGTGAAACAAAGACAAAGAATGAACCAATGCAACAGCAATACTCACAAGATACTAGGTTGGAAATGAACTTAAAACTTGTGGGGAGGGAGAAAAGGGGGAGGGATAATGGGAGAAAACGAGGGAGAGGATAACAGTTCGACAAGAAATGTACTCATTACCTGACTTATGTAACTGTACCCCTCTGTACATCACCTCTACAACAAAATTAAATTAAATTAAAAAATACAGATGAACTGCCCTGTATTTCGATGGTTTCCTGAACTTGTTCCACGATCTCTTGAAATGAGATACTCCTATCAGACGCCAACCATACAGTCAGTGCATGTGAAATAATCTGTAGTCTTTGATAACTACGAAGATAAAAAAAAAATCAATGACATACCAAGCCTAAAATCAAGTGGTGCAATAGTAAAGTAAGCATAAATTAACGCTTCACATTTTGAAAACATATAATCAACTTCCATACCGAAACTGTAATTTTTTGTTCAGATTTTCTGCCTCATCTCGTCGTTTTAATAACATAATCATTTCCTCATCTAAATCAGCCTTTTTCTGAGCTGGTATATATTTTATCAGCATAGTTTGTTTGATGTCTTCATATTTATCTTTAAGCTGTTTCATATATTTACCAAGAGCTTCTAGATTGAAAGAGTCTTGGATATCCATGCCTATAAGAAAGGAAACAATAAGGCCAGCCATGTGCCCATGTGTCAAACAATGTTCTTAGCAAGATAGGTTTACTGTACTATAAAAGTAATTTTGTTTATTTATTTATTTTTTTGTCGGTCATGGGGCTTGAACTCTGGGCCTGGGCGCTGTCCTTCAGCTCTTCAGCTCAAGGCGAGCGCTCTACCACTTGAGCTACAGCACCACTTCTGGTTTTCTGGTGGTTTATTGGAGATAGGAGTCTCATGGTCTCTCCTGCCCGGGCTGGCTTTGAACTGCGATCCTCAGATCTCAGCCTCCTGAGTAGCTAGGATTACAGGCGTGGGCCACCAGCACCCGGCTTATAAAAGTAATTTTGAAATAGTAATACAGACTTTTTTTCCTGTTGTGCATGCTAAGAAAGCACTCTACTGCTTGAGCTATGCCTCCAGTCCTTTAGATTTTGTTTTTTTTTTTTCAGTAAAAGTCTCACTGCTATCTTTACCTAGTCTGGCATTATATTTGCACTTCTCAGATGGTTTGGATTACAGATACATATCACCAGGCCCATGCCAGGCATGGTAGCATCTACTTGTAGCTTATTGAACTTAAGTAGAAGTTGCATAAAGTGGGTACAGTAGATCACACATGCAACCCTAGCTATTATGAAAGCAGAGATCATGAAGATCATGATCCTGAGCCAGCCCAAGCAAAAAGTTTATGAGACCCTTTCTTAATCAACAGAGTAGTACAGTGACAAGCACCTGTCATTCCAGCTATGTAGGAAGCTTAAATAGAAGGATCACAGCCCAGGCTCTCCAGATAAGTAAAATGGCCTGCAAGTCTGGCTAAAGTAGTAGAGCATTCAAGCATGAGGCCCTGAGATCCACATCCCAATAACTCAAAAGTAGAAGAATTAAGAAACTGTAAATGCCTAGGGTTTTAAATAACTCAGTCAGATTGATCACTGTAAGAACACACAACTTTAGCTTCAGAAAAATTTTCCTAATGACCTCATCAACATAGCCTGAAAACACCTAAAGACTGCTATTCTATAACACCAAGATTCTCCATCTAGTGACTTTTTAAAAATATTTATCCGTAACCAAATTTTCCATTACTTTATCATAGTTAACTCCTGGATAATCAGTTTATTTTTTCCAACACAAAATTATAATGCTTGCCAAATCTTCAGTCATCTCTCCTCTTACCACCACCTTGTGTTCATTATTCATAACATACACAACTTCAAATGTCTTCCTTTCATATCCAGACCAACTGCTGACTTTAAGACACAGCTCAAAACTTCTCTCTTCCAACCCACTTCCCAGATTAATCCCATTGTATTTTAATTAAAAATATTACTTTGAATCTTTCCAGCATTTAGTAAATTTGTTACTTTCTCTGTACTTACTCATATTATCTTACTTGGACTTTGCTAATCACAATTATTTTTTGTGCCAATACTGGGGCTTGACCTCAGAGCCTGGAGCACTCACATGGCTTTTTCACTCAAAGCTGGTGTTCTACCTCTTGAGCCATACCTCCAGACCCAGCATTATGTGGTGAACTGGAAATAAAAGTCTCAAAGACTTCTCTTCCTGAGTAGCTTCAAACCTCTATCCTCAAATCTCTGCCTCCTGAGTGGCTAGGATTATAGGCTTGAGCCAACAGTGGCTAGCTGCTAATCATAATTTCTTTATATGAAAGTGAATCTATTCCATATTTTTATCAAATACATGATCATTCAAATTTTGTTGCAATTCTCTAGTATGGAGTAACTCTTTATAAGGCATAGCTTCTTTTATTCTGGCTTCCCAGAATTTTCAGTGATTGATTCTACCTCAAGATAAACAGTAACATGATAATCTTTAAGTTCTACATATTAGTATTTATTTTCAAAGTCTGTTTCCTCCAGAATATTTCCAATTCCGTCCACCATTCATATGGATATAAATCATATGAATCTCTCGAATCTTGAATGAATTCTAGGATATATTCTAGTTTCTTTCAAATGTAACAAGTATTAAAGATATACAATTAGTGGACACTAATATCAACATCAGTAGTATTTATCAAATATAACGCACTAAAGTTTTGCATACATATGCCAGTAGAGTACATCAGAATAACCAGAACATAATAAAACACTGACTGTTGAACTCAGTCACTAGGATTCTGACACATTAAATGTGTGATAATGCCAAAGAATGTGCTTTTCCATACAGTTCCCAGTTGATAGTGATGCTGATACTGACACAAGAACCATACTTGAGAGTACACATTATACTTTATGTAACCCAGTCTGACTGAGTTCCAGTCTGGAATGATTTTTTTGGGATGGTTTTACTGTTGTTTCATTCCCTAGAACTGTGATTAAGTTTGCTTCTATACCACTGGAAGATGTATACATAGCCACATATTTAGTACCTGTATGACAGGTACTAAATTGGAAATACTTCCATGCATTGAATGTCTTTAAAATATTTTAAACAGAATTCAGTACCTGGAATCATTTTTGAAGGATCTTTGGAGAAAGAACAATACTTTACTTTTTTCTTCTCATACTCGGCCCTAAGCGCTTTGATTTCATCTATTTGCAATTGAATCATCAAGGAATTCTTTTCAATCACCTTCATTCTGAAAAACAAAGGATTTCTTACATTTTTTTCAATTAATTTAATTCTTAAATCATAAGAATAAACAGGTTAAATCATTGCTTTATCTTGGCTAATTTTCATTTCAAACCACTATATACTAGGTAGAAATTTTTTAATGCCCTGAAAGGGTTAATGGATCTCACAAATAGAGAACAATTTTCTTTCAGGGCATTAATAAAATTTAATACTGATTTTTAGCCTCTTTGGAAATCCATTTTAAGCATAATCTGCCCCCTCCCCACACACAGTCTTTTCCTTGGCCAAAAATTACTTTTGCAATTTAAAATTTATTTTTGTAAATCATTGCACAGTTTGCAGTGCAGTGACTACAAACTTGGTGATTGAACTAGCTACTCAAAATGTTGAGATCTGAGGATTATGGTTTGAAGCCAGCCATGGCAGGAAAGTCCATGAGATTCTTATTTCCAATTAAGAAGTAGCACTGTGGCTCAAAGTGGTAGACCTTGAGCAAAAGAGCTCAGGGACAGTGCCCAGACCCTAAGTTCAAGCCCCACAATTGATAATATATATACTTGGTGATTGAAAACAACAGAAATTCATTCTTTCACCTTTCTGGAGGCCAGAACTAGACCACAATCAAAATGACTTAAGGGGTGGCCTTCCCTGGAAACTCTAGGGGAGAATCAGTTCCTGTGGGGGGTGCAAGAACTCCACGGCTGCTGAACTTCCGCTGCCAGTCTCATGGCCTTCTCCACTGCCTGTGTCACTGGTTCCTCTGTCTCTTTTGCAGATGTTTATTTGTGCTAGGGCACATCTGGACAGATTCCCTGCCTCAAAGCCTCAGTTTATTACATCCACAAAGAAGGTAAACAGTCACAGCTCACAGCTACTGGAGGCTGAGTCTGAAGTATTATCTTTATCTTATTTTCTCTTCTATTTTATTTTTTATTTTTATTGGTTGTGGGGCATGAACTCTGGGCCTGGGCACTGTCCCTGCACTCTCCAGCTCAAGGCAAGTGCTCTACTGCTTGGGCCACAGGGCCACTTCTGGTTTTCTTAGTGGTTTATTGGAGATAAGTCTCACAGACTTTCCTGCCTAGGGTGGCTTCGAACCACGATCCTCAGGTCTCAGCCTCCTGAGTAGCTAGGATTACAGGAGTGAGCCACCAGCACCTGGCTTCTCTTCTCTTTTAGAGCTGTGATTAGATAGGATCTTCTCACTCTGTCTTTCATCTTTTATAATAGCTTTATTGCTATGATACACATAATTTGAAATCCACCCTTGCAAATTGTATAACTCAGTGAATTTTAGTATTCAAAACATTGTCCACTCATCACCTCCATTTTATTCCAGAACATATCATCACCCCCAAAATAAGCCTTGAACTCATCAGAAGACTGGTGAGTAGAAAGTAATTTTCTCTGCAGTCTCTAGGAACTGACAGTTAATTTCTGGTATATTCTACTATGGTGTGGCCGTGTATCATCATAGCTTTGTGTGAGGAGGGTTTCCCACTGGACAACAACCCATCTGGCTTTTGTGTGTGTGTGTGTGTGTGTGTGAGTGTGAGGATTGAACTGGGCCTGAGCGCGGTTCCTGTGCTTTTGCTCAAGATAGCCCTCTACTACTTTGAGCTACAGTTCAACTTCTGGTTTTCTAGGGGTTAACTGGAGCTCAAAGTCTGACAGACTTTTCTGCCATGGCTGGCTTCTAACCATAATCCTCAAATCTCAGCCTCCTGGGCAGGTAAGATTACAGGCATGAGCCACCAGCGCCTGGGTAAGCGTTACTTTTTATTCTGCATCACACAGAAAACTAAAACTGAAGACCTTTGGAGGCTAGGGAGGTGAGTTGAGACAGGGTCTTGCTATGGTGCAGGCTGGCCTCAAACTTGCGATTCTCCTACCTCAGACACTCAAGTGCTGGGATAACAGGTCTACAAGGACTGTGCTACCAGCCATTCTTTTTTATTTGTCAATCATAGGGCATGAACTCTGGGCCTGGGCGCTGTCTCTCAGCTCTTCAGCTCAAGGCTGGTGCCCTACCACTGGAGCCATAGCACCACTTCCAGCTTTTTTTTTTTTTCTTCTGCTTATGTGGTGCTGATGAATAGAACCCATGGCCTCATGCATACAAGGCAAGCGCTCTACCACTGAGCCACCTTCCCAGGCCCCCACGTCTTTCTTTTAAAAGCTGCTCAGGCAGCTTTAGTGACGCTTTTGACTACATTAGCATTCAGAAAGGTATTTTTTTTGAGGAGGGGAGGGGTCCGGTCATGGGGCCTGAACTCTGGGCCTGGGTGCTGTCCCTCAGCTCTTCAGCTCAAGGCTAGCACTCTACCACTTGAGCCACAGCGCC